CCCCAAGGGGTCCTGGATTGGAGAGGGTGCAGGCTAGGCTGAGGGGACCCCCCCACCCCCATGCACGAATTTCATGCACCAGGCCTCTAGTATATAATAAAAGGCTAATATGCAAATAGACTAAATGGCAGAACAACCAAACAACCAGTCACTATGACATGCGCTGACCACCAGGGGGCGCACCTGAAACATGACGGGCGTCAGCCATGGCAGGATGGTGGAGCAGGTGAGCGGGGGTGCTAGTCGCTGTCATCGGAGCGAGCCTCTGGTGGTTACTGAAAATTCTTTGCTCCCGCGTGCCGTGGTCCTGACCAGTGCTCACACCTGCTGCTAGCACCGGCCCCGCTCGCACCCACTGCCAGTACCGGCCCCAATCACTCCGCACCGTTAGCACATGGGAGCGGTGGTGGTGGGAGTGGGGCTGCCGGCAGACAGGGGACCGGGGGACATGGCGGGAGGGGCCAGGCAGGGGCACGGAGGATGGGCCAGACCCGCCCCTGTGCCCACTGCAGCCTCGCGGCCCACAGTTCCTTTCAAAGTGCATGAATTCATGCACTAGGCCCCTAGTATAAAATAAAAGGACCAACCTCCCTGAAGCAAGAGAGAGAATTCTCCAGCAGTCTGCCTTTGGACTCAAACTAGAACATCAGTCTTCAGCCTTCTGGCCTACTCTGCAGATTTTGAACTTGTGAGCCTCCATAATCATGTGAGTCAATTCCTTATAAGAAATCTATTTAAATATATACACACACATATATAGGGTGGGGCTAAAGTAGGTTTACAGTTGTGAGTATGCAATACACAGTTTATTTTTGCATCATTTATCAATTACTGCATTGTTTTCCATACAAACAACTGTAAACCTACTTTTGCCCCACCCTGTAGGCATATCGTATTGGTTTTGTTTCTCTGGAGAGGCCTAATACACCGCATAGGCAGGAGAGATAGAATTCCTCTCTGGGAAAAATGACACAGTCATCTAGGGGGCTTCCCAATAAGAGAAGCATCAAGATCTGACAATGAACAAATCCTGCTCACACACACAAGTTTCCAATCACCATTTTAGTGCTTTATTATTAACAATGAATAAACATGGTTTACCAGGCATTAGAGAAAAGCCTCTACCATGAAAAAAACTAAACTAAAGAAAGAAACTCTAAGGAAACAAATCTGAGAATATTTTTTTAAAAAATCACAGCCTAAGTCACACAAGCTCATGCCTGATAGAGGGAGAATCCCAGAAACCATTCTCACCAATCCTTAATATGAGACTTAACTCCCCCTTCCTGTTCCAAAGATCATTCTCAACAGGCACTGGTGCTTTTTAAAAAAATATATTTTTGTTGTTGATTTCAGAGAAGAAAAGAGAGGGAGAGAGAGAGAGAAACATCATCATTGATCGGCTCCTCCTGCACACCCCACACTGGGGATTAAGCCCACAACCTGGGCATGTGCCTTGACTGGGAATCAAACCGTGATCTCCTGGTTTATAGGTCAACACTCAACCACTGAGCCACACTGGCTGGGTGGTCCTTGTACTTTTAAAATAACAACAGGCCTGCTCCAGATCCCACCATTCATGCTTGCCACCAGAAAGACTATTTCTGCATTTTGCTTCCTCTGTGGATCAGGAGTTATGGGGCATGGGTGGATATAGAAGGGATACAGGCCTTTATAGGTACCAGAAATTCAAGAAATTTACATATCCAATATATTTGTTCTCATGTGCTGATTATGGCTATTACCATTCTGCATATATGTTTGGTTACATGTGAGCATGGCTATGTCTTCTAGGCTTCATATTATTGGACTTGAACAAATTTACCAAAATCCAGCTAATCAAAACAATTTTATGAATGCATCCTTATAAATGGGCATTGATAATGGAATAATTTAGTAATATACTGTATAGAATGCTAATAATGAAGCCATACAATTAATGTTTGTTTAAAAATTTTAGACAATTATGTACTAAATCATACACTTGACCATACACTATTTCAATTAATTCAAATCACCAAGATCTTAATGGCAAGAATCTTGTTATTCTGTTGAAATGTTTTGCTGTTAACATGGAAAAAGTACATCTTCACAATTTCTTTTAATGTGAAGTGAAATGTGATTTAGACAAAAACATTGTCATTAATATCCTCGCAGAGCTAAGAGAAGATATTTTACCCATAGAAGCAAAACTGGAAACTATAAAACAAGAACAATCATTGAATTGTACTAATAGGAAACCTCACACTAGAGAAGCACGAATGTGCACATGTTTGTGTTTTTCATTAAATTTGAATGCCTTCAGGTAGGTCACGCAGGTTGTAGCAGTTAGGCATAGCACTACAACTTCCTATTGTGTTATACCCAAAGCTTTACAGATTTCTGTTACCTGGAAGGTACAGTAGAAATAACAATGCAAGAGGGCTGTAAGGACAAAAGATAATGGTCAGAGAATATACTGAAGTTTAAGTATCCAGAAAAGAATGCTTTTTCCTAGATCACATCCATACAAAAAGTAAACTAATAAAGTAGTTGTTTCTTACTACTCCCTGACACTTATTTTCCAGCCATACCAACCCAGTTCCCTAAACAGTTTCTGCTATTTTACATCTTTGCTCATGCTGTTCCTTTTATCAGGAGTGTCCTGCTCTTCCTTCTTGGCCTAGTTAAATACTATTCATCCGTTAAAATTTCTCTCAAGTATCACCACTCCTCCTTGACCCCAGTTTTATTTTGTTGACTGAGTTGCCTAGGCAAAAAGCTCCTTGAAGGTAATAACTCATGCCATTTTATATCCCCAAAGCCTAGCCCAATACCTATCACAGAGTACACTGGCTAGTTTTGGGTCTTTTTGGTACTCACCATTTTTGCCTGAAGATCAAGCAGTTTTCGCACACGAAATGGTTTGACTAGTAAAGGTTAAAAAAAAAAAAGAAATATTATGTATGTGGTTCAGAATAAACAGGACCCATGTGGCTCATATATATAGCTTCTTCTTACAACACATCAAGAATATAAACACCCTGTTCAGTTAAGCCATTAAGCAGATGCTCTTAGATAAAAGTACTAAGAAGCAATTCCCACAAAATCATGTCACAGAACTAATGCTAACAGTTAACTTTATAAAGGCCAATACAAATGCTAATTCCACAGAGTGAATGTAATATAACTGTAATAAAAATACTCACCATTCTCTTTTTTGGTAAGTAAATATAAGAAATGGCAGACATAAGGGCACTGTTAAAAGAAAAAAACTTTTAAAAAGAGAGAAATGACAATGCATCTTGAACAGGACAGCAATACATTCTCCTCAAACGTAGATCTTATACTAATTAAGTAAAAAGGACATCACTGAACAATAAAGCTTCTCGTTATCATACTACACAGTAGTGATTAAAGACAACAGTTTTAAGTTGTATCCCATGATGCCATTTAAAAAAATTATTTTTGGTATATACAAACACTGCAGGCAGTCTGAAAAATAGAAAAACTCCTTCTACCTAACAAAAATTCATATATTCCTTCTAAAAGCCAATATTTATTAAGATACAAAAATTTTATCCTAAATTCTCATGTTATTTGGTATTCAAAATGATCATTTTCAATGATCTTAATATTCCAGTGAGTGGATATAATACCATAATTTAATTTACCATTTAGCCCAAAGTTTGTCAAATAGCACAAACTCAATAAATTTATTACTTAAATTACTGAATGACTGGTTCCCTTCTACCATTTCCCTTTGAGTGTCCACTTTTTGAGGTTTTATTCTAGATGAAGGGTCAGCAAACTCCAGTGCACCTATTTTTGTAAATCAACTTTATTGGAACGGAGCCACACTCCATTAGGAAATTGAAAAATAAATTATTAAATGGGACTGGGGAAGGTAACAAAACAAACTTTTTAAAAACAAACTTGTATTTTTGTAGTCATGACTAAAGTGTAAAGTCTAAAGTATGGCATTACACAGAGAAGCATCAATCAGACTGTCATATCTCAAAGGGAAGGTAGGGGCGGGTGGGGGGAAGGGGGAGAGATCAACCAAAGGACTTATATGCAAGCATATAGGCCTAACCAATGGACACAGACAACAGGGTAGTGAGGGCATGAGTGGGGGGGATAGGGGGTAATGTGGTGATAAGGACACATATGTAATAACTTAATCAATAAAGAAATTTAAAAAAACATAAATAAAATATGGCATTACACAGTGCCTCTTAGCAATGGATTCAGAAAGACTCTGGACATACCTGTAAGAAGAATGAATTTAGATATAGGATCCTTTTTTTTTTTTAAAGAGGGTGGGGAACCTTGGGTGTTTTGTGTGTTTTTTTTAAATATATTTTATTGGTTTTTTTACAGAGAGGAAGGGAGAGGGATAGAGAGTTAGAAACATCGATGAACAAGAAACATCGATCAGCTGCCTCCTGCACACCCCCCAACTAGGGATATGCCCCCAACCAAGGTACATGCCCTTGACCGGAATCGAACCCAGGACCCTTCAGTCCGCAGGCCGACCGACGCTCTATCCACTGAGCCAAACCGGCCAGGGCAGGATCCTTTTTTTAAGGGAAGAATACATATTATGACCACATATGCCATATTCGACACAAAATATAACTTCCAGTAAAAAAAACCCTCATTATCTCACACCCCTAAAATATGATACATTAGTAACACTATCATATTGGGTATGAAACAGAAGCAAGTGTCACACAATCACTTGCCCTAGGCACAAACAGCATAGGAAACCTGACATCTGACATTCTCCCTTCATCCCATCTAGAAAGGAAAAACTTAGATGTACCTAGGACTTTACAACTGCCTTTCTGGCAAATACCTAACCACCATATCTGAGTCACTCCAGAGTCAGGCTCCCACCAAATTACATGAAAATGACTTTTCTGAAGTAATGCTTTTAAAAGTTAGGCTCCTGATTTCTTAATCAGGGTGATATTTGCACAAATGCATTTGGTTTATAAAAATTTATTGAGCTAATCACTTATGATACAGGCAATTTTCTATATGTAATTGTACTCCAATAAATATTTTTTTCTTTTTTATAAGTTACTTTTTTTTTTTTTAATCCTCACCCAAGGATATTTTTTCCATTGATTCTTAGAGAGAGTGGAAGGGAGGGGGAGAGACATAGAGAGAGAAACACCAATGTGAAAGAGACACATATATCAGTTACCTCCTGCACGTACCCCAGGGCTAGAGATCAAACCTGCAACCGAGGTATGTGCCCTTTACCAGAATCGAACCCGTGACCCTTCAGTCCATGGGCCAACGCTCTATCCACTGAGTCAAACTGGCTAGGACAATATTTTTTTTTCTTTATATTTTATTGATTTTTTACAGAGAAGAAGGGAGAGGGATAGAGAGTTAGAAACATCGATCAGCTGCCTCCTGCACACCACTCACTGAGGATGTGCCTGCAACCAAGGTACATGCCCTTGACCGGAATCGAACCTGGGACCTTTCAGTCTGCAGGCCAACGCTCTATCCACTGAGCCAAACCGGTTAGGGATAGGACAATATTTTTTTTAATATAGAAGAAAAAGAAAAAAAGTAGGCCACCTTCCCTCACTCCAGCTGAGCAAGAAACTCTCTAGTCAGAATCATGAAAACTACTCTCAAGTATATCACAATTTATTTGACAAACATTTATGAGTAGTTCCTCCTATTCATTAATTCACTCATGCAACAAATATTTATTGAGCAGTGAATAAAACAGACAAAAAGGTCTGTTCTTATGAAGTTCACAATCTATGTGCCATGTTGTGTTACCGAATACTTGGGTTATAAAAGGCTCAGTTCCTGCCTGGAAGAACTCAAGTCTATTGAATTATTATAAGAAAGGGGAAAACATGCTTTATTATTTCCCATTTTTTACTAAGTATGTGTAAAAATTCATTCATATTGCAATTAGTTCAGTTTATGAACAAAACCAACATGATGTCAAAAGTGAGGGAGAGTCGAGAGAAACCAAGATGGTGGCATAGGTAAACACCGAAGATTGCTGCCTCGAACAACCACTTCAAAAATACAACTAAAAGACGGAACGGACATCACCCAGAACCACAGGAAGGCTGGCTGAGTGGAAATTCTACAACTACAAGGAAAGAGAAAAGCATACAGAGACTCAGAGGAGGCGCAGTGCGGAAGTAAAATACTAAGGTACAGAGGCGCACACGGAGTGGGCTGGCGGCTGAGGGCGCGGTTGTCATTTGCAATCAGGAGGGAGTCTCAGGCTCTGAGCTCCAGTTCCGGGCAAGTCTCTAGGGACCCAGACTCATACTGGAGAAGCGGAACTGTCTGGCATCGGTCAGAACCCGAGGGCAGCTTTCTCTCCGAGGGGCTTGCGGCGATTGTCGGGACATTGAGAAACAAAGCCTCTGAGGGCAGGACTGAGAGCAGCCATAACTGCT